TTTTCTCTCTCTCTCTCTCTCTCCTTGTTTTTTTTCAACCCCTTTTCTTCGGGTTTGGGGCATGTGTTTCTGGATTAGGTTTCCTGTGCTTCCTTTTCAAAGAGTCTCTGCGCTTGTGGTCTCACGCCAAACGTTGGTCAAGATGTAGGAACGCGACTTTGCCTCCGAAGCGACCAGACGCCCGAACGTGCGGTTGCCGGGATACGCGCGGGGATTGCCACACATAAGAAGAGGAGGGAGGGAGAGAGAGAGAGAGAGCGAGAGAGAGAGAGAGAGAGAGAGAGAGAGAGATGGAGAGGTGTTTTCGTGGGGGGTATGAGCAGGCACACTCGGGGAAATGCGTAACTCTCCCACCCCGAAAAGGGGCCTTGAGAAGGAATAGGTCATCTTCCGCTCCGTCCGTGCAGTTGCTATCCCCAAAAGCTGTTGTGGTGCCTTTGGGGCAGGAGTTCAGTCCAGACATGTGCGATGATTTAGCGGATCGATGGTACAAGTGCCTCGTCCAGAGCGATGGCGTGCAAGCAGTATGGACAACCTTTTCACATCTAAGTTACACGCTTCAAGACGATACGGGCTACTCCTACGCGATGCAGGCCCTGGGCTTGCTTGTGCCTGCAGGTTTGAATCGATCTCCCTCCAAGGGTTTTTGCACTCACCACCAAGCTCTGGCATGGTCGGCACTGGACAGGATGCAGAGGAGGAGGAGGACGAGGAGTCTACAGCTTACAAGCTGTTCAAGACTATCGGGCAGGCTGCCTCTGTGGAGACTCTGGGTTTGCAGAGTCTGGAACCATCTAATCTATGATATGTGCTGACGTGAAACCACCTACCGCATGCATATGGCTTGTCCGACTTGTCCCAGGATGTACTTCACCATCTTCGGCGTGCTGCTCAAAGTGATCTTCTTGACTCAGCATCCCAACTCAGCTCCACTGCGGCACCCAGAAAGTGGGACAAGCCGGTGTGTGTGCATTCTGGTCTGCTTCCTCAGGAGCAAATCCTTCTTCTCGATGTTCATCATCATCAGGCCGAAGATGGGGCCGAAGATGGACTGTCCTCTAGTCACTAGTTGAACGAGCTTGCGGCTGCCAACCCCGACAGGTGCACCCGGAGACTGGCCGTAATGAGCTGCTTTCGTTCCATTCTCATTGAGTGCCCTTTGAAGGGCCGGAGGTTTCAGGGCTCCCGAACTCGAAGGCACAGATGCCTTGCGTGTTGGCGCCGGGCAGTGACTCGCCGACTTGCGGCTGTCGCGAAAAGAGTTCGCTCATGCCTCGGCCTGCGCACACGCTATGGCTTAGCAGCTTCGCAGGCAGTCTTCATCTGATTGCCTGCCGTGGCCTGCAGGATCAGGAAGAAGTTGTGCGGCAGATCAGGCCCCTTTTTTTTGCAGGTTCTTCAAGACATGGTTCGTATGCGCACACTCTTCCGCTGGGCAGGGAATGCATTGGAATACCACTGTCCGTTATCTTCGTAGGCATTGGGGTCTCCCAGGCCCCCTGCGCCTAGTTTCAATGCAGTTTCCGGCGTGCCGAGTAACAACTGAGGATTTCAAGTTCCTCAGAGAGCTCGCGAAAGACATCGGGCAGATCTTGAAGCTGGATGGCGATGAAGGCCATTCTATGAGCGTCCAGACGGTTCAACGGATCAAGAAGTCAAAGAAATTATGCTTGCTGGTCTGCATGTTTGCTCAAGCGGCAGATTTGGCAAGGCAATCGCCTTCATGTAGGACCTCCGAAGCTTGGTAGGCTGATGAAGGCTCGTCCCTTGCCGACTGGATAAGCCAACCCAGCAGTGCCAGTTCGGGCATGGATCCTGGACAGCTGGAGACGGCGTCCCTTCGATACATCTCACTGCTTCCCCACTGTGTGCCGAGGGCTCAGGAGACTGTGTGCTTTCCGATGTTTGCAGTTGTCCGGCATGAAGTTGTCATCGCATGCAGCAGCAATTGCAGCACTCAGGCACAGTCTACTTCTTTGGTTCTTGCCAGATGACACTTTGTGCCGGGATTCCAACATAGACTGAGCTGCAACCATGTCCGCCTGAAAGCCTTCGAATTCGCAGTTGCTAGTGCTGGGCTTCAGGTGCAGACTCTGCGGCGCCTGCCGTTTCTGTTGCGAAGCCGCAAACCAGCATCCATCGTGGCAGCGTAGGCTGCTGCAGAAATTCGGGGGCGAGTTCCTCGACCTTACCTACCAGCTCCCGAAGCAGTGGAAAGGGCTATTCCTTCGGCTCACGAGGGCGTCCGACAGATTAAACCAGCTGGGAGGAGGTGGGTCCGCCGCAGGAACATGCGCACCTCGCCAATGGCAATGCCGCTTTCCGCTTTGCCCGCTTCGGCAAGACATGGAATTGCAACTTGGCTGAGCCCCTTCGATCCCAGGCTTCAGCAGTTCGCATTACATCGCACTTTTAGGCAGTGGTCGCTGGTGGTACCGAGCGAGTCACTGGATGCGCTTGCTGTCTTGTGCTACGATGGCGTATCCTGCGCTTTACATGCATCTTGCCTGGCACAGGTGGTCAGCAAGCAAACCTGCACCTGCCCAAGACATTTGCAAGAGTGTGAGACAGGACGTGACGAATGAGAAGGTGATGGTGCTTTGGCGAAACCGCAGCGATGGAGTAGAACCCTTGCGTGCTGTGGTCGGGCAAAGCTGCATCTTCCTCCTGGCGAGCGCTTCAAAGGCCCGAAACACCGTCCAAAAAGGTTTGTGAATGCGTGTGACGTGACAGCTTAAGCTAGTGGTATACGAGGCCGGGATCTCTGGTGTTTAACATAATTTCTATTTGTGGCACAGGGGCATGCGTAGGTAGTCATAGAAAGTCGTGCAGTCGGCGTTGAGTGTCTGCGTTCTCGGGCACATTGAGTTGTGAAGGGAGCATCTCACATTGTTTCGCCACCTGGAGTTCATGTACATATGCAGATTTTCAGCGAGACGTGATGTCAGCCTTGGCCCCCACAGGCAGCTGCTGCAAGTAGTACCATGCACAGCTCACCCACCCGTTGCATGTCAAGCCGGTGCGTATCAACCTGGCATGTCCTTTCAATGACGACCGATAATTTCCCCGACATACATACATGGATTCGTTCATACATACATACGTACATACATACATACATACATACATACATACATACACACACACACACACAAGACAGGACGTAAGGATTCCCACCACTTCCAAGTCTGACTGGAGGCCTGCGCAGCAAAAAGTGAATTAGCGCAGTCCCAATATACAGTCTCTTTCCTGCTCCAGTGCTGCAAAATACATGACGTGCCGGACGAGCCTATAAGACTTTCTTTAGACTTGCTTCCTCCGGTCATCCCAGATTGACGTGTATTCATTCGCGGGCGTGCACACTGGCGAGTCTCGTCTTGACAGAGGGCTGCCTTGTCTACTCTGAATGTAGCTTTCGCTCGATTGTCTCTGGAGCGCGCTGATTGCCGAACTGCTCCAATGCTGAGGAGTTACCTCTTGCGCAAGAGCAAGAGATTGACCTGCTTCACTGCGCCACGGACCTGTTTCTCGCCGAGAAGAGGCTAGTCATAGAGACTTCCACAATGCTGCTCGTGTGGGATGTCGCTGGTGGCTCTCAAATTTGCCGCGTTCCACCCGATCATCATCCGGACAAAGATGGAGTCAGCGTCTCAGAGGCTCCGATAGGGCCGATAGCCTGGTGGGTCAGACCAAACATTCCTGAGGAAGGGTTGCAAGGACGGCCCTGTGGCCGTGGCGTGGTTGCGACCTGGTTTGAAGAAGGCGCGCGGCTTTTCGTTGTACCGTCGTAGAGTTGCAACAGCAGAGCGAGGAGGCCGGGATGTCGAGTTCTGGGATGTGCAAGCTGCACCAAGCGAGGCACTTAGTTCCTCCAAGCTGGTGACTCACACGATTTCGCTTCCGACCTGAGGATTGCTGACCTGCTGGGTTCCGGGCATTCAGGATTCGGAGTGCGTTTTGGTGACATTCGCCACCTCGCCGTTGGAAAGGCTGCTGGTTGCCATCGATTCCGCCAACGTGTTGCACGTAGCCTTGATGGTCGAGGATTCCGAGGAGACCAAGCCGATCGATTTATACTCCTGCCAGCTGTTTCCTGTTCATGGATCACGTGTTCTATCGTGCTCTATAGCCGTCAGGTGTGGCATGCTGGCCTTCGTAGAAGCTGCAGACCTCGAAGCAAAGGAACGTGAACTTCATGTATGGCAGCTGGCTCATCATGGCGAACTCCTTTCCACACCTATCCGCTTGACTTGTCCATTCTGCACGCGTGGCCTTGCCACAGTTTCAGTGCCCAAGCCGATGCTGGGCCAATTTGTCCTCCTAAAAGGCTGTTCAGCCATGGAGGAATCTCCTCCATTCGTCAGCGCCCATCTCTTCAGCTTGGACTGCGGGCGACTGCGTAAAGTGTACACACATGGAGAAATTGCCTGCGATTCTACCTTGTTCCGTCGCGGCCATCCACTTTCCGACCTATGCCTAGGGTTCTGGAACTTGGAGGAGGGGTGCAAGTCTCTGTCCCTTGTCGATCTCGCGACTGGACACAGAAGGCAGAAAACCAATGAGCTCGCGTTTGGTCTTGGCAGGGTGTTCGCTGTCAGTTGAATTCGATCTGTGGGAGTGGGGTTCGGTATGCGAGGGGAAGCTCAGCGCGAGCTTGCCCTCAGACAGCTTGCCGCACCCCCAGCATTCACGAGCGTGCTATTTTTCTGTGACGTACAGCTTGCTGAATCATGAGTTCTGTGAAGAAGTTTGGTTGTAAGGTGCACTTCATAGCCTTCAAAGATCATGCGGATGATCCCTCGAATTTGTCAGCAGCGACACTGCCTGCGACTTACGCCAGTTAGCCGCAAGTCATCGGAGCATTTGCGCAGTTCTGCAGCATGGAGCAAACAAGGGCGCACCTTCCTCGTGATGTTGTCCGGTACTACATGGCCAATGGTGTCAAGTCGTTCGACGAAAACGATTCTTTACCTTTCTCTCTCTTTCTCTCTCACTCTCTGCCTCTCATCTCACTGTCTTATGCTGCCACTTCGCAAGGCCGCGGGGCCTGCAGCGCTTCGAGGACAAAGACGGCAACCCTCTGCCAAAGTACATCCCCAAGGAGCTCTCGCTTTGACTCGCCATACCCCACCCGGATGCTTCCCCGAACCAGCTAGACCTAGATGCCGCAGTGCCGGAAGGAGCCCATCAACTCGCAAGCAGGCCAGGACAACAATTAAGTGCAGTGCTAAGCTGCCGAGAGGGTAAGCTATGGGTTTCCTGCCAGTTCCGGTGAAAGCGATGCGAATTCCGACTGGTTCGGCCAGTGGCTCACGCGACACTTCCAAAGCCAGACCCTGAGCCTGGAAGAAACAGCTCCCGACTGTTCTGAGTTGGGATACGGACAGTGTGGATAGTGCGCTGCTGCGAGACAGTGGCCAGGTGGGATCATCACGTACCGGGACGAATCTGCCTTCAGGCCTTGCATCGCAGAGACACGTCGTTGCCTTGCGTGCAGCGTGCGGCGTGAGTTGAGGCTCCAAGACGCCGGAGTCGCTTGGCAGATCACCGCACCTCGCCGAGCAAGTCAGCCACAACTTGCTCTGTTCGCACCGTCAGTGCTCTCAGGGCTGAATCCAGGGTCAACAGCAAAGCTGCATCTCTTCGGCCTGAGCCTTGCGAAATCTTTGTTGCCTGTGCACAACTCGGCGCCTTTCGCCTGTCAGGCTCGAGAATGCGGACGAGGATGAAGAGCCATGGCCTGAGGAGGCGTGGTTTGCGGTTCCGGTGACTTTGGTCCACTTTGGGTCAGTTCTAAGTTCACAGAGGGAAGCTTCTTTTGTGTCAGGAGGACTCGGACGAGGACAAGACCAAGAATGAGAAGCAGCTCGGCACTAAGTCGCATATCCGGCCCGGGGCCCAGTCCTTGAAGTCGCGAGTGAGCGGTCATTTTGAGGGATGAGCACAAGCTCCCGATCTACCTCGAGGAAGCCCTGACCTGAGCCACAAGCAGCAAAGTCACACTGACACCTTTAGGGTTTAGGGCTGCTTTTGTCTTAGCTTAGGAGCGACTGCGCCCCTTGGATGCAGCGCATGGCATGCAGTGTGCAGCAAGCCAGTCAAGTCAGCTTTCACTCAGGCTTGATCAACAACGGCGTTGGATTGGGATACGAACCTTGGCCTTTATGGATGAAGTTCGGCAACTGAGCACAGCGCTGCTAGTTTCTTGCATCTTTCCGGCCCAATCAAGCCCCAGTCGAGGAGAAGTTTCGCATCGTCCGCGCGATACGGGACGGCTTGCCATCTTCAGACTTGGACGCCACCGGGCTGGCAAGTCTAGGGAGTCCAGGGGTCAGTTAAAGCCACCAGTGACACCAATTCCAGTCCCCACAGCGAAAGTCGGGTGGAGCCTAGGTCCTGGTCGACAACATGCTGCTACATGGTGGCACTTGTGGCAGCCAGGATGCAGGCCAACTCTATAAGTGCGACTGAGGCACGGGGGCTACGGCCATTCTCCCACATACAAAGATGCAGCTGCCGCCGCCTTGTCTGATGCGACCTGGACAGCAATGAGGATGATCTCATGTGGGTGTTGGAGGCAACCAGTCGAAAGGTCCTGCATCTGGACAGGTGGAGTTCTACAGCCTTCCTGGAATGGCACAGCCGGGATCACCCAAGGATCCTTGGGGTCATTTTGCTCTAGGTCCGACGATGCTACCTGCCTCGTGCGAAAAGCTGCGGGAAGCTGCCCAGGACCAACCCGGCGCTGCACTGGTGCAGACACTCGGTCATCTGATGGTGTGTCAACGGTCGGTGGGTGTGTGTGTGTGTGTGTTACAGAGTGAAGCAGATGGCAGCCAACTCAGTCTCGCAACAGCGACGACACTCGATGTGTGCTGGTGCTATCCGATTGGATGCCATGGGACGTACCTGCGGATGTTTCACGTGCTGAATGTTTTGACAGCAGTAAGAGGAGAAGAGTTCGGAAGTGTTGGTATGATCTCGCGCGCTGGCATAGAACGCGGTTCAGCCGTGTATATGCGCGCATCACAGGACCTAGCGCGTCTCTCGCTTATACTATTCTCTTGAATACATGATGCGCCTGCTTGCAGATGGCTTTGAGGGGCTTGCTCTTGTGCCAGCTGAGGAGCCGCAAGAGGATTCGAATAGGTTCCGACGAGGACGACGAGGACGTCGATTACGGTGAGAGGCTGGATGCTTGAGTGCTCGCAGGGGGACTCTGAAGCGGAAGATGTGCAGGTTGCGGGAGTTGGCTCAGCCTCCCAAGTCCTTGGACAGGAGGATGCAAGGCCGCCTAGGTGTGGCCCCACGTCAATTCTACGAGAAGTTTTTCTTTTCGCAGCCTAGATGTGAAGGCCTGCTTCCGCGAGATCGGGTTCAGATCAAAGAGCCTCAACCCCGTGCAGCCCTCGACAATGAGGCTTCCCAACTGAACACTTCTGTAGGCTTAGAGTGGCTGAGACTCAGGTCGTGAAAGAACTGGGACCACCAGCTCCGTTGGCGGCTTTCGGGTCGCTTGGCCTCTAAGCTATATAAGTTGTATAGGTTGATATAAGTTTGTATAAGTTATGTAAATAAATAAATAAATATATATATATAGAGTTATTTCATCTGAGTTTAGTAGAAGTTTTATATAAGTTTTGTATAAGTTCGTTCTCGGGCTTGACGATCGTGCCAGGATCCGTGGGAGACGGTGCGAGTTGAAGACGGCTCAGCTGCGAGAACTCTGCTGGAACTGTCGGCCTCTCGCAATGAGAGCAAGGACCTTTGAGTGGCGGCAACATCCCTTCTGCCCCATACTTGCCTACATGCGATACACCACTCCCTCATGCTGACGAGGATGTCGCTGACCGGGGCTACCCCAGCGTCGCTCGTGGTGCTACAAAGACGCTGGAAGAGGCACTGAGCTCGGCGAGCAGCTGTCACAGTTGACGCTTCAAGTATTTTTGGGTCTTCCAGGCTGCGGGCATGCTGTCGAACCTTCAAAACGCCCCGCCGGACCTTTCGCCTTGGGCTCAGCAAGGCAGTTAGGCAGCCAGCAGGACAGGTTCGAATCGATGCAAAGGCTCGGACAGGCCGTCTCGTCGGCGGACGACTCACCGACTCTTCGTGCTGCAGGCGGCTGGGAGACGCCACGCTTTTCGCGAGGATTTGCTTCCATGCCCACGCGAGCACACCTGCATGATCTCGCAAGGTGATGTCGGCTCTGAAGCTAGTGAACCGGACATGGTAGCCGTCGTCTCCGATGGCTTGCTGAGTCAGGGCCGTGCATCGTCAGACTTTTGAGCTGGAGGAATACGGGGAGAAGGCAGCCACCCCGGTTCTTGCATGGAGGCGCGTTTGAGTGTTCCACCGCTACCGAACGGAGCCATACGGTTGGAGACGAGTCAAAGCACAGATAGCGCTCACCATGACCTCTTGTTTCATTGCACTCCTGTAGGGAAGCAAGAGTCAGGAGTTTTCTTGCATGATGCTCTAGATTTCTTTGGTCAAAGACCAACGGAGAGCGGATCCTCGTTAATCATGGCACGTGGCGTGCCCGTGCCAAAACAAGTCGATGGCTTGTGCAGAGTTGCTTGGTGTCGGAGCTGCAAGCATTGAGGGGTTCGGAGTGTCCGGGCTAGCGCCACGGTTCATCGACAAACTTTCCAACACAATTGCTTTTAGAGACATTGGCTTGAAAATGCTTCCGAGTATGTAATTTACACTCAGCTTAAGCCTCACAGTGTCGCAGAACTCTGGCGTTGGGTCATCCTGGCGCTGCGATGGCTGGTGATGGCCAAGCAGAAGATGCCTTCATGTGCCGTATGGACCAGCTGACCCAGAAATTGAGCAAGTGGAAGACGACGCGTTCGGCAACACCGCTCAGGAATGATAGCTGCACGGCTTTGGCTCTGGACGAGCAGCGCGGGAGTTCCAGAAAGGACGCTTCTCCGAAACGGCACTTCAAGCCCTCGCCGAGCTCTCAGGTGCCGCCAAGCTCCGGGAGATCCTGCGGGTCACATTCTCCGAGCAAGCGTGGCTCCATCAGCATCCTCTCCACATACGACCGAGTAAACAAGGCCGCCAACGCTGCAAGTGCCGTCCGGTGGCTGTCCAAAGCATCCTCCAAGGGCGAAGAGGGCGGTGAGGCCAAGAAGGCCTCCGCCTCCGCCTCCGCCGCCTTCGAGCGCTTGCAGGGCAGGTCGCAGTCCGCCACCTTCCGGCCCATCTTCACAGAAAGGGACGGACGGGAAGGAGCAGAGGGGGCAGAAGCGCTGCGGTCCCCGAAGCGCGGCCAATCTCTTTCCCCTTCCGTCAGCCCTGCATCAAGGCTATCCCGTCGCTCCACGGTCGACAAGCAGTCAGAGAGCAACCCCTTCCATATCGAGAGATGCGAGAACGCAGGAGACAGAGCCAGGCCTCTATCGCAGAATCCTCGAGACTGCCCGGAGCCATCAGCATTCAACACTCGCATGGAAGCGCTGCAGCACAGGGTCTGGCATGCATCGCCTGCGATGCCATCCGAACCTTGTCAGGCTTCAGCTCGTGCAGCGGCAAAGATTGGGACCTGTAGGGTAGCGAAACAAACGGGGCTTGGAGCAGTGCTTGGAGAGCATCCGATCAGGACCGTCATAATCCCATGCGCAGCGAGCAGCTAGATTTCAAGAACAAGTACGAGGCCAGGTGCTGATGCAAGCCGGAAGCATCTTTGTGGTGCCCGCATGTCGGAATTTTGACCTGAGACCTCACCATTTCTGGCTGCAGTGGCCGACCCTGGCGGCGTTTCGCCAGAGCTGCTTGACGGAAGAACTGTCTGGCCTCTGTGAGCTTCGCACTGCCGAAACCAAGGCCAAGACAATGGCAAACCCTGGCTCGAGCATCTCCGGGAACAGCACATTCGGACGAGACGTTGGCTAGCCGAGTAGGCGTTGTGATCCGCTTCGAGAATCGATAGCTCCGATACAAGCAGCTGCTCCTTTGCTGCTGCGCCTTTGACGCTTGTGAGGCCAATTGGAGGAGTCCCTTGGGCGAATCGAATCCTGGAAGCAAACGGGAGGGGAGGGTCTTTTCAAGCGCGGCCGGCCTTGCACGAGCATGGGCGTGAGCAATCGCAATGGCAAGCTTCAGGAGATGATGCTGCAGCAAGTTCTTGAGAGTATGGCCGGGGCAAACGCTCAAAGTGCTCCGCCCACCGCCATGGAACATGCAAGTGGCTGCGGGGGCCTCGATCAAAGCCATCATGCAGATGAACTGGAAAAGGCATGTTCGTCGCCTTTTTCATCCCCTGGTCAGGTGAGGCCACAGCGCGTGCTTGGACGGGGCAAGCTAGGCAGTCTTCGACGCTTCCCCGCATGCCCTCGCGAACGCCTTCGAAGATCCTTGTAGCTCAGCCGCAGGCAGAGAAGCTCACGCTCAGTCAGGTGTTTCACCAGTCAGCCGCGTAGCCAACCTGGCCGGTAAAGGTTGCATTGACCTCCATAACAGAACCGTCAGAACAGCTTCATCGGCTGGTCTAATGATTGAAGAGCGGAAAGAACGTGTCAGGCAGCCGACTCGGTGCCTGCGGCTCAGACATGAGGGACTTCGACTCGAGGCCAAAACGAAGACAACAAATTCAGAGTTTGGTGTTCAGGCCCACGCCGCAAGCCTCTTGGCAAGCACAGGTCTGGCCCCTAACGAGCCACTCTTGTCGCCCTTACAGGCGAAGCTCAACCGAAAGCCGCAGCCTTAGAGTGTCTCCGATAGGAGGAGCGATTCCCTGGAGAGCTCGCGAGACAACTTCCGAGACAACAGTCTGTCATGTCACCAAGTTGATCTTCCGGTCTTGCCATGTTCTGCAGTGAGTTTCAGGCAGTGTCTCCAGCCGGCAGTGGCAACGCCTGATGCTGCAGCAGGGGCGTCGACTCTGAGGGATGCAGGACAACTAACCTAACGGATCAACCGCCCAAAAGGTGCACGGTCAGAGATTGGACCTCAGGAGCCGAAGAGGCTTCGATGGTGGATGGTGAGGACGGGACATGTGATGTCTAAGATGTCTGCGAGTAATGCTAGTACGGGCATCAACCTCGAACATGCTACAGAGGATTCTCGCAAGGCCTCCCGGTCCAGCCCGGTGGTGCTCTCGGAACGCTTGAGACGCTGCTGTATCATCCTGTAATGCTGCATCTTTCCGACTCAGTGGATTGCTCGCTAAAGCTTCTCAAAAGTCTTCACAGGGCTGTCGTCAGATAGGCCACTTCCTCAACTCGCAGCGGTTTCTTCAAGTGGCCTTTAGTTCGAGCCCTACCATCGCAGCTGCTCCGTAGGTGCGTGGAAGATGCAGTCCAGCAAGAGTTCCGGATGCTGAGGACATTGCCGGAGTTCGTGAAGAGCTCGGTCTCCCGAAGAAGAGGCGTCAACAGGCATTGCCACCTGCCACGCTTGGAGTCGTGGTATTTTCCCTCGCAGAGTCCTGCACCGGAGTCGCTGATAGCAGGCATGACGGCCCCGACTTGAGGAGGTCCAAAGCATTGACCGCCCCACCGGGTCCACGGAAGCTACACGCTTCAACGAGCCGCTGCGTCGTGGGTTTCACATTTGCTGCAGCACCGCCTCGAGTGGTGAGGACCGCTCGTCCTCTGACAAGCTCAGCCAATGCAGTCCGAAAATGCTTGGCTTGTAGATCCTGACAGTTGAAGTCTAGGCACTGGTGCGGGGGGGGGGGGGGGGGGNNNNCAGGGCGGACCAATAATTGAGTGCCTTCGTTTTCCCGTAGTTGCCACCGAGCTGTCCAGTGTCAAAGGATAGTGTGAAATTAAATTTGGTTGTAGAAAAGCCGACATGGATAGCAAAGGTTGTTGGGTTGATTCTGTCGGAGTTCAGAAGCCGGCAGTGTAGGCCAGGCGCATGCACGGACGCAGAGACGTTGTTTGACACACACGCATACACACACACAGAT